GGGTCATCACGTAAGTCCCAGTCTCTGGCTCCGTTTCTCTCCCGCTGCAGTCTCCTCTGCAGCCGCCATGCTCGCTCGCTCTCGCCTATCGCTACTGCGCCCAGCGCTGAAGACTAACGCAGCATAATGCTGAATACTAACTCACACTAACCTGCCTAGTGAGAATACTACTGGTCTGGCCTCTCCTGGGTCCTACTGGCCTAAACGTGCGGCCCAGAATGAATGGCCTGAAAACCAATCAGGCCGTACACTTGGATCGAATCTGATGGTCCAAGTGTGGCCTGGAAGGAAAAGCAGGCCAGGGCCTGAACCGTTACTGGTACCAGGGCCTGAACCGTTACTGGTACCAGGGCCTGAACCATTACTGGTACCAGGGCCTGGCCTGGCCGAACCTGGTGTCGGCCTAAAACGGCCCTCTTTCTGACCTGAATTGACACAGGCCCTACTTCTGGCGCCAAAACTTAATGCGCCAGACCAAAGCTAAGTCCCTACCCGTGCCTGCCTACCTGACGGGTCCTACTGGGCCCATCTGGGATCTACATATGCCACCCCACACCCCTCCTTGAAAGACCGAGCCTACCGACTAGAGCGGAGCTGTCGATCGGAGGGAGGGACCGTAGTCCGGGTGGGACGGCTAGGTTGCTGATGTGAGGCTTCAGTAGCCAAGCGTCGGCGCTCGTAGTCGGCGTAGATGTCTGGTGCAGAAGTCTCCAAAGCATCCCGGGAAATCCACTGTGTGTCGTCGTGGTCACATTGTCGGAATCTGACTTTGTACTGCGTTGGCTTGTTGCCGTAGTGGCTGTGTGCGATGACCCGCTCAACCTCTTGGTGGCCATCCATTGAAAGAGGGTCTTGTGGTCGTCGATCCGGAAAGTCCTCGCTCTTAGCCGGCATATAGGTAGCTAGCTTCGAAGAGTGAAAAACGGGATGGACCTGCAGATGAGGCGGAAAGTCGATCACTAAAGACGGGCCGTCGGGCTGATCGCCAGCTGCGGACGTAACGAGCCAAGGCCCAAACCATTTAGAGTGGAGCTGGCGAGAGACATCACGTTCCAGCGCAAGCTCCTTGGAGGAGACCAGACCTGGTCGCCTTATGGATGGAACAAGGCACGCGATGCCAGTTCGCTTGCTGCTGCATGCGGACCTGCGCCTTTGCATGGTTGCACGGGCTTTAGCCAGCAGCTCCCGCATATTCCGAATGGAGGCGGGTGTGCAAGGGGCGTCAATGTCGGCAGCCTGCGGAAGAAGGTCAGCAAAGATCCGTCCTTTCCGACCTCCATGGTGAAGCTCAAATGGAGTGACGCCAATCGTCGGATGCAACGAAGTGTTGTAGGCGAACTCGATGTCGGGAAGGCGGTCAACCCAGTCCTTTTGATCCGATCGGATGAGCGTGCGGAGCATCATTTGGGTAGTTTGATGTGCCCTCTCCGTTAACCCATCCGTTTGTGGATGCCAAGCGGAACTTGGTTTCATGGTGGTGCCAGACTCCTTCATGAGAGCAGTCCAAAAGGCTGACATGAACCGCATGTCACGGTTGCTAACGATGTCCTCCGGGACGTCGTGGCCGCAAATCCAGCTGACGTGCAAGATCCGTGCAAGCTTGGGAATGGTAGCATGGTACTGGCATGGGAGGAATCGAGCGTACTTGCTACCGTGAAAATGCTGTCGTGACCGAAGCGATCCCGCGGAAAGAAAGCCGTGACGTCCATAGCAAAGGAGACGTCAAGTTCGCGCAGAATGGGCAAGGGTCGTAACTCACCGTACGGCTTGCGATTGTGGTGTTTGTTTCGTCGACAAACTTTGCAAGATTCGCAATACTTGAGAATGTTGGTCTCCAAGCCGGACCATTGGAACTTGGACCGCATTTGAGCAATCGTGCAGTTTGCTCCAAGGTGACCAGCGAGGTGCAAGTCGTGGTACTCGCCGAGAAGGTGAGTCTGAACCCGACGGTTCGAGGCACACATAGTTGGTTTTTGCCTCGAGTGTGAAGAATCAAATACCCATCGGCGATGTGATAATGGCTTGCCGGTGGGTTCTCCAAAGAGAGCTGCTCGTAGAGTGGCGCATACTCGGGATCGGCCTTGTAGCCTCGGATGAAGTGTCATTGGAGGTCGCCGTCAAACGCGAAGGCATGATGCATCACGACGCAAAGACCACGTCTTCATGAGAGAGGCCTGCAAGGTGTTTCGGTGTGAAGTCAAACTGGTCGTGAAGTACATCCATTGTCCAATAGTGCTGCTATTGGCCTTGTAGCCTCGGATGAAGTGTCGTTGGAGGTCCCCGTCAAACGCGAAGGCATGATGCATCATGGCGCAAAGCCTAGGTCTTCACGAGAGTGCATCGGCTGCACGATTTGAGAGGCCTGCAAGGTGTTTCGGTGTGAAGTCAAACTGGTCGATGAAGTACATCCATTGTCCAATAGTGCTGCTCACCATGTCTTGTGTCGTTGTTGTCGGTAACCCATGTGAACCTACGACGCCCAAGGAGGAAGTGTCGCCATCTTTTCAGAGCCATCACAAAAGTGAGTTGCTCCTTCTTTCGTGCATCATCAAGTGTGTTGATGGGAGGCACCTTGTGGTTGAAGTACTTCACGGAGTGTCAATCCTTGTCGTAGTGCTGTTCCAAGACTGCCCCAATGCTGGAAGCGTCAGTTGTCACTCTCGTCAGTAACGTGGGATCGTAGATGCTTAGGACAGGTGCCATGAGCATGGCCGTCTTAAGTGCTTGGAAAGCATGGTGCGCTTCGTCGTCGAATTCAGGACACCTTTGGCAATTGTAGTTGTGTCAATCGTGAAGCAATTCTCGAATAGTCGGTGATCAAGCGTTGGGAATAACCGGCCAATCCCATGAACGATCAAACGTTCATGGTGTTGGTGGGCTCAGGCCATACACGGATGGCCTTGATCTTGTCCGTGAGCGGACGGATGCCTTGCGGTGTCACATAGTACTCGAGCTCTTGCCGCATGAATTCGCATTTCTCGCGGTTGGCCTTGTACTTGGCTTGGCGTAGCTGCTCCAAAACGGTGCATAGGTGCTCCACATGCTCGTCCAAGGTTCGGCTATACACCAAGATGTCGTCGAGGTAGATGAGCACAGACTGGTCCAACAGACTGTGAAACTCCGTCGTAATGGCCGCTTGGAAGGTGGCCGGGGCATTCGTAAGGCCGAAAGGCATGACCAGCCATTCGAAATGCCCAAAGCGCGTCTTCACCCCAGTTTTGTAACGGTCTCCTTGTCGGATCTCAATCTGGTGATACCCTGATTTGAGGCCTAGCTTGGAGAAGAACTTGGTGCCGCCCAACCGTTCGAGGAGATCATTGATTCGCGGGAGGGGCCCAGCGTTCTTCACGGTTTGTGCATTGAGCTTACGGTAGTCAATGCACAATTGTAAGTCTTTGTTCTTCTTCCGGACGAAGAGGACGGGAGCGCCGTATGGCGAAGAGCTAGGCCGTGAAGGCATGCCGAAACCGTCATTTCTGTGCTGCAAACGTAAAGGTGCAAGGCTAGCCATGTTTATGTAGTTCAGCACTTGGTGCCTCCACACCCATCTTTCTTTTCGACCGCTTGCACATTACCTGTGTCCGACAAAGCCAATTAAAAAAAAAAAAAAGTAAAAAAGTGAAGGGAATAACCCGTATACATGCCATCCTACCCCTGTGCTCCTTCCAGAATAAAAAGGCGTTAAAAGAACCTTTCGCCAATTCAAAGAGGCTAGAGTATACTGAAATTTTCTGCGAGTTCCATAGACTTGACTCGCGAGCAAATGACACTGTGCTTGAAAGAGAAAATGCTCCATTTATATATATAAAGCTCCATTGAGTCAGCTTGTGAAAAGAAGACTACATACATACCTCACTCATTGTGATGCCCATGGCCATCAATCCACGAAGATTCTCTGGGCAAAACGTCTCTTGCATCCGCTTCTTCACATCACGCTGCCACTGCGCATGCGACTCCCCTTCCTTCATGTGCATCAGCTCATTTAGGAACTGAAGAGCCGGGCTAGCCATGCGCGACAGCATCTCTGACTGCATGTATTCAGACCCCAAAACATAAAGTATGCAAGGTTATTCTTTCAAATTTTTACAAGTCCATTTTACCTTCTCCTTTCCTATGTTTCTACAGGAGGCTATTAGGAGCTGATTAAGCATGTCTTCCAAAGGTGGTTCTCATTAAGTTTCTTGTGGTTAATCAACACAAGACAAATCTTGCCCATAGTCGACGTGCTAAATTTTCATAGCTTGTTCATTTAGATAGAGAAAACTTCCCCAGTCCTAGCTCAGTCGGGTACACCACTGAACTGTTGAAATGCAGACCCGAGTTCAAGTTCCATTCGAAGCAGACGAGTGAAACACTACAATTCTGAGTTACCTACGGCCGGCCAGTTCGATGATAACATCTCGAGGCCGTCGCCTTTTTTGATAGAGGAACCTCCACAGTGCACAATCCTACCTGCTTCAACCCTTCACTACCTTCTTCCCCCGAATACAATGTACGGTCATCATAGCTGTATTTACTATTTAGACTGAAAGACACCCCCAATACAGCGATAATGACCATACGCTGTATTCGAGGGAAGAAGGTAGTTCATCTGATAACTTATTTTTTGGTGATGATACTGAAGATGATAATGGACGAGAAAGATGGACGATGATGATACTGAAGATAATGATGGACAACGGTGATGGATGTGACAATGATGATGATAATGATGATGATGATGATGATGATGATGATGATGATGATGATGATGATTACGATGATGACGATGATGATGATTACGATGATGACGATGATGACGATGATGATGATGACGATGATGATGATGATGATTGTTGATGCGGTGGTGATCATGATGATGACGATCGCTGTATCTAGAGTCTAGACTGAAAGTTATTCCAAGTAAGCTATGATGATGGTATGGTACACACACCACTAACCACATACTCCTTCGGTGAGAAAGAGCGCCCGTCCGCCATGCGAAATTCTGTGCAATGGACTCTGGGTCTAAATTTCCGAGACCAGGCCAACGCCACTGCGGCCTCAACAAACTCCTCCAACCCGAAACCGCCCTGACCCTTCCTTTCTCGGGCGCGTATAGGGTGAGTTTCGGAGGACGTGGGGCAGTACTGGTGGTTCAAGTGATATTGTTCGCGATACGTCAGGAAATAACAAATGCCAGACTGCTGACATACATTTGAATTTTGAATGCAAGAAGTTCAACTTCATTAAAAGTTGAGAACACAGAGCTGCCCCCAAATCAATGATTTGTCAGAACAATTCAGAGGACTGTGATACTACCATCAGCCTATCAAGGATGATCTTGGCAAAAAAACAATGGCGTTGGAAACTCCACGAGTTTCGAGTCTTTCGACAGACACAAGGAGTAGACATGAACACAGCTTGTGCAAGAAAAGCACACAAAGGACGACTACCATCTTCACCCGAGGGAAACGTGGCATGTAGCTGTATCCAGACTCAAAGTTGCTGTATCCAGACTCAAGGTTGTCCCATTACAGGTATAATGACCATACATTGTCCCATTACGGTACAGGTATAATGACCATACGTTGTATTCGGGAAGACGGTATGGCATGTAGCTGCCATAGGAAGGACATTATACCACTGGCAGGAAAGATGGATTGTCCTTCCACAGCCGGAGGGAAACGTGAGTCAGTTGCTGTGCAGATCGGGACAGAAGAGCAAGGCTTCCACCATAGCTGAGGTTTGTGCAGCTCCCAACATTCCATCAAATCTGTGGAGTTGGCCTCCAGCTGAGGTTCGTGAAGACCTCACCACCTGCATTCAAACCTGTGGAGTAGGCTGAAGCAGCTGGGAGATCGAAGGCTGGGGAATTCAAATAAGTCAATATAGAAAACCGTGGAACAGCCAGTTGAGAGCCACTACATTAGCTAGCTGACCTTGGAGGGTTTCCACGGGGCAATAGACTGGGCCAGGACCGGAGATCAGATGATACTTTCCAGCCAGGAGAACGTGTGGAGGGAACATGGCTCTGGCTGTGGGCTGTCAGCTCGGTCGTGGGAAGATGCAGCAGGTGAGTATGTTGCAGACGAGTAAGATGCCACCTGGCAATCAATACAAAGACAAGAGACACCAACACGGATATGTTGATTTCCCTTGGACAGCATAGCTCTTCACCCACTCTATTTCGAAATCGTCAGAAGATTATCCTCCGCCCTCACTGTACACTCCGTTGCATACCATCTAGGGTCTCGCCACACCACTCCCGGAATGTGCAAAATGGAGCATGTATCTTCCTCAAAAACGTTGAAAGATACACCCGCCATAACTTACTCAGCAGTCATAACTGAGCATCCCTTACTCTACAGTCATAACTGAGCATCAATTGCACCGAATTCGTTACGAAGGATATAACAACTTCACACAAAAGAAAGGTAGGCCCTGAGATAACTTACAGGCCTGCATCCCACAATAGACAATTTCCTTACCTCAATCCCTGTCTCTTATACACATCTAGATGTGTATAAGAGACAGCACCAGCCGTTTCACTGCTGCAAATGTCAGTGGCACAGAGCTGTTTGTTTGTTTTGTATTCACTAAACACAACTCCACAAACAGAGGGCGACTGTAACAGACTGTTTCGTTAAACTTTCACAACTCGTCAGGAGGTTGATGTTTGTGTGTGTTGTGAACTGTCACCACAACAACCTCTTTACCACCCAGATGAGGAGATCCAAAATTAAAACAGCTTTACCTCTATAACAAACGACATGAAGCACACGAGAACCATTACATTGCCTTTTTCCTGTGCAGTCCTGTCTTCTCTTTTGTTTCTTTCCGCAGCTCCCCTCTTACTATATGCGGAGCCTCTCCGTGTACAAGGCTCGCCAAGTCGATTTTGGTTGAGCACAAGCTGCCCAAATCCCCATGTGCCATACCGACCTTCTTGCACACTGCGAAAAGGTGGCAGAGTAAAGGGGGAGGTATACTCCTGTTCACTATTTAGCACACCTTCACCTTATATTTTGTCTGTTCTCTTAACGATGCTCTAGACAAGGGGAGGGAGGGAGGGAAGGGGGAAGGGGAGGACAAGCTGTATGCTATGAAGAGGGAAGAGGGAGAAGGTGAAGAGGATGGAAGTGGAGGGACAAGGAATAGAACAGAGGCCAAACTTCACAGGGTTCTCAGTACTCACCGCCAGAGCAGAGGACTATGGAATGGCACAAGAAGCCACTCAGTATTTGGGATGCAGAGAAAGTTGAGTTTAGGAGCAGGCGTTGCTTATGGTGAGTGGCCACCCCTGCAGCCTAGACAGGACAATTAGGGTGTGAAACATAGAAGCACCACGTCCACTTCTCACAGTTGCAGTTACTGCGTCGAATGGCGCGGCCTAGACAGCTGTCACAGGCAACATAGCTCCCGCATGGTAGGCACACCAAGGCACCACGCATCCCAATCGTATAGGCATTGCCTTTCCAGCACCTGTCTACAAATAGGACGTACCCTGATCATCATATAGGAATTGTCGTTCCGGTGCCTATACCGATCGCAACCGTATAGGCAATCATACATCAGTAGAATGTTGACTGTCAGCATACGTATAAAACCATAGAGAGCACTTCCATAGAAAATGTTGCAGTCATCATTCTCATAGATGTACGACTGCAACTCCATCAGTAGAATGTTGCAGTCGTCTTTGCATAGGCGCCATAGAGATTTACAACAGTGCCTCTATACTGTTGTGACACGAAGGCAATCCTCACGACATGAAGCATGCCAATCACATGCTGGTTGAATCTCAGGTGTGCCGGCACAGCACCGCATTGAGAATGTTTCTTGGGGTTCCGCAGCCGATATTCCTTCTCCATGGGCATGCAATGATGGGGCCCAATCCAAACAGTGTTTAGCCGTTGCAAGATCTGGTCTGCAACTGCTCATCTTGGCGGTGGTGATCTTTCAGTACATTGCAGTGCACGTGGTTCATGTGAGAGAGTCTATTCTCCACCTCAGGCTCTGCTTCATATGTTCCTCATCTGGCAAGAATGGGAGGGTCTGATTACAGGTGTCGGGCAGAGGATGCCCAACGTTATGTGTGGGAGATGACAGGAGAGGATATGTGGTGGGTGATGGCATCGGGGATAGTCCACGCAGTAGGGACACATACTCTCCCACTGGGGGTGCAATGCTCATGCCACTCTTGTACAAAACACAAGGTTGCTGTTGGGAGACGGCAGTGGAGATGAGAAACATCTCCGTCGAAGAGGCATCCGTGGCGGTCGTACTGATGGTGAGGGCGATGACGAATGGGAGGCAGAAGGCGGAGAGGATGATGCAGTAGAAGATCCAGGTGAGGACACTGGTGCTGATGGTGGCAGAGACTCTGCGAGAGGGAGAATCAAAGGAGGCAGGGGGCAACAAAGATTAGCCCTGAGCTCAGCTTGGCCAGTTTGATCCCTTTCTTGTGGGTCATCTGCAAAGATTAGCCCTGAGCTCAGCTCGACCAATCAGATCTCTGCCCTGTGGGTCACCTGTAGGGTTGGTTGGGCTGCAGCTGTCCTTCAGTCTGTGGGGGCACGCATTCAGCAACAACTGCAGTGGCAGGGTGCAGGCTATCATCCCCTGCAGCCACTTCAACAACATCTGTGTTGTGTGCTACGGAAGGCTGGGTTTCTCGCGAGATTGCGCCACCTGCATTAGCAGCCGGTCCAGTAGTAATAACTGGGGTGTGCGAGCCAACTGTGTGTGGCTGTGTGGAGGGCTGATGCTGCCTGTGCTCAGAATTAGCATTCAGCAGTGGGTTGGCAAGTGACCACTGTACGGTCCCGCAAAACCACTTCATGTGTATGCGTCGCATGCCTAATCGGCATTGATCAGAACCGAGAACCGACCTCTGAGAGTCAATACAAAAATAGCACAGCGGAAGACTGTAATACCAACATCCGACTCAGCAACTTGACAGCATACATCATCACTCAGGAGGAGGGAGGGCAAGAAGGAGAGAGGGAGGATCAGCCACCATAGCCCGACGAACCCAGTCTCCAGTGTATCCCCAATGTCGCTGCTCATACAATGTAAGGTCGTAATGTCACTGAACTGGGCAATGCCCAAATGTCACCATGTCTCAATGTCAACTCTCTCTCTCTCTCTCTCTCTCTCTCTCTCTCTCTCTCTCTCTCTCTCTCTCTCTCTC